GCAGGTCCTCAAGCAATCCTCACAGAGCATGTGACTGTCACAGTTGGCCATGGTTTCAAATGGATATTAGGAATCAAATGTGGGAATGGAGAGTAAAATAAGATGAACTTACCAAGTTCTACCAACTAGAATGTTTTGACTGATTTAAGCAAAGTAACTTTTAGAAACCTTTTGAAATATTTTAATAACTCTAAATTTACTATCACATTAGTGTAGAAAATTAGTTTCATGTATAATCTTCATCACTGCAGCTTCAAGTTGAGGAAGTGTCTAACACATAACCACAGGTCAGGCGCAGCCTTAGGGTGAGCTGCTGGGAAAGGATTTTGCTGATTTAGGACTTTTCAGCCTCACTCTCACATAATCACTTTCAGGACCACACATGAACCAAATTAAATGTCTGTGTAAATATGGGATCAGAAGCCACAAGCACCAGGATTAAACAATTCAGAATATTTATATAGATGGACTTTTAAAATGAAAATAGGAGCGATCACAGGTGAGTAAGAAAAGAAATAATTGAGCATTTATTAAGAGCCTACTTTGGGTCAAAAATATTGATGAAATTGGCTACTGTAATTTAGAAAAAGTAAGTAAGTGCATTGCACTTTCTCCTCCCTCACTGACATCAGTGATGATGTTGTTAGTTGCTGTCAAGTTGTCTCTGACTCAAGGTGCCTTTATGCATAACAGAACAAAATGGTGCCCTGTCCTGCACCAATCTCAACCATCTTTGAAATGTTTGAGGCATTGTTGAAGTTACTGTGTTAATCCATTTCCTGGAGAGTTCTCATCTCATTTTCACTGACTCTACCAGACATGATGTTCTTCTCTAGCAATTGGTCTTTCCTGATGATGTGTCCAAAGTGAGTGAGACAAAGCCTTGCCATCCTTGCTTCTAAGGAACATTCTGGTTGTATTTATTCTAAGGCTCATTTGTTAGTTCTTCTGGAACTCTATGGTCTATTTTCTTTGCCAAAATCGCAATTCAAATACATCAGTTGTTTTTCTGTCTTCTTTTTCATTGTCCAGGTTTCAGATGCATGTGAAGCAACTGAGAAGACTATGGCTTGGGTTCAAGATACCTTAATCATCAAAGTGACATCTTTGCTTTTTAGAATTTTAAAGAGGTCTTTTACAGCAGATTTGTCCAATATGCTGCTTGATTTCCTGACTGCTACTTCCATGAGTGTTGATTGTTGATCCAAGTAAAATGAAATCCTTAACAATCAATTTTCTCCCACTTACCATGATGTTGCTTATTGGTCTAGTTCAGAGGATTCTTGTTTTCTTTACATTCAGATATAATCTGTATTGTAGGATGTGGTCTTGCAGACTACAACAGCTCATAAAAATCTTTAATTTTTTCATCTTTGGCATTTGGGGTTCATGTGTAAATTTGAATAATGATCATATTGAGTGGTCTTCCCTGTAGATGTATGGATATCAACCTATCACTCATAGTGTTGTATTTCAGGATGGGTATTGAAATGTTCTTTTTAATGATGACTGCAACTTTGTCTCTCTTCAATTTGTCATTCCTGGCAGAGTGGACCATATGATTGATGGCCAATTCTAGTCCATTTCAGCTTACTAATGCCTAGGACATCAATCTCTGTGTGTTCCACTTAATTTTTTTATGAATTCCAATTTCCTAGATTCATTTTAATTTTGGGATAATACACCAAATATATAGTGGGCCTTTCCTCATGTTTTATGGCACTCTTACCCACTAAAGTCACAGCTTCTATAGGTCCCTTCTCCAATACAATCTCCACTTTTGAAAGTGATGTCTCTAAGGTACAGAATATCCATGTTTCTCTCCTCTTTAAATCCCTCTCCTAATTAAATCCTTTTGTTAGTTTCCTAATCCAATTGGTCTCTGCCTACCTGCCCACCCTCATCACTCAGTACCCCCCATTCTATAATCCATTTTTACTGAACTTCTTCACATTCCCTGATGATGCTAGCACTGGGCCTTTTCGGGTGATTCTCCTTCTGCCTGAAATATTCTTTCATGTGCTACTTATTTGACCAACTCCTACTCATCCCTGGGGATGCTGTTAAGATACCTCTTCTGGAAGCCTTCTACTGCTCCCCCCCCAGACAGAGTTAGGCACCCCTCTTAAATGGTCCTACTACTTCCTGGGGAGCTCTGGTAGCATATTGCCTAAGGCACTTGACTGCTAACCAGAAGGCTGGCAGTTCAAACCCACCAGCCACTCCTCGGAAGGAAGGTTGGGCAATCTACTTCCATAATGGTACCACCTCGGTAACCCAAGGAGGGGTTGCTATGAGTCAGGTCTGACTTGATGGCACATAACAACAACAACAACACTACATCCTAGGCACAGCTTTTATGACTCATAATTATTGCTTCTTTATACATCAGTCTCCACCCACCCAGCTGTCAATACCTCAAAGAGAGAGGGCCTATGCCTTATTCTCAAGGCATCAAGCATTTTGCCTAATGGGTGCTGAATAAATATTGGTTCACTTAGTAAATAAGGATCTCTGTTGGCTTGGTAAGTAAGGCATTTGGCTACTAATCAGAAGGTTGGCAGTTCAAACCCAACAGCTGCTCCACTGAGATAAGGCAATCTACTGTAAAAATTTATAGCCTTGGAAACCCAATGGGGGTCTCTATTAGTCAGAATCAACTTGACGGCAGTGGGTTTGGATTTTAGTAAATAAAAGAATGACTAGTGAAAGTAATAAGAACATGGGACTGTTGCCAATCAAAGTAACTTTAAGTTCAAAAGGTCAAGACAACAGGTTGGTCTATGTAAGAGCCATATGTTAGAAATGAGTGACTACCATCTTCACCCTGCTTGGTAATGGTGATGGTATTGTTAACTGCTATAGGCTCTGATTCATAATGTTGCTTGGTCTTGTGCCATCATCATGATCATGTTTGAGTCCATTGTGGTAGAGATTGTGTCAATGTCAATCCATGTCATTGAGGTGTTCCCTTGTTTTCATTGACCAAACACGATGTCTTCTTTTTAAAGAGATTGGTCTTTTCCTGGTGATGTGTCCAAAGTGAATAAGTATTACCCTGGGAAAATCCAGAGTTTGAATAGAAGGGCAAGTCATATAGAAACAAGGACAAACATGGTTCTTATTCATTCATTCCTATTATTGAGTACCTTGTGGAGCTGGCCTATGCCATCCAAATGTACACCATTTTATAATGAAGCTATTTTCCTTTGGTGACTTGACTATTGTCTAAATTAGTCAAGTCTATGTATTTTAAATATAAGTGTGACCACTGCAACCTAATTGTAATGCAAGAGTGAATCTGGGCTCAGTGGCTACCTTAGGTTTGTCAAGTGGTGATGGGCTTTCAGCAATGCACCTCAAAAGCACTGGGGTGGGGGGACTTCTTGTGCTGTGGGTTCTTGCCCCAACTGGTCCCAGATTTATGAGACTCAGGACCACATCCTCAGATGACCCCAGAGAGAGACTGCAGAGGGCTGGCTGTGCAGCCTGAAGCAACAAGAAGAGGCTTCAGGTCTATGCTGCTATCCTGCCTGCATCAACCCAGTCCTTGCCTCTTTCCCTGACTAGTCAAGCAAAAACTTAGTTTCCTTGGGGGTCCATAAGATGTCAGAACAATTCCAGGTCCCCTGCTCAAGGGAGTGGTGAGAAACAGGACAGGACATTACATTATTGCCCTATTATCTAGGTAAGAAGAGTTGGAGACTAGAAAGTTGGCTCATATCCACATGGACACAATAGAGAGTGTGCCTGTGCAACCTATTATACATGCTGAGTGATGCTAAGAGAGATGCAGGGAGGGAAGATGTTGGATCAATGCCATCTCTTTGTTTTCCTCTTGGAGTGAACTGGGAAGAAATGTTGCATTGCAGTCCTTAGGATTTTGCTTTGGGTGTTTCTTTCTGACTAGTCAGTAACAATAAAGCTACCCATACCAAATTAAAAACAATAATTAAAATGTTTTCAAGACTTACTGGTCTGATAGAGACTGGTGGAACCCTCGAGACTATGGTCCTTAGACACCTTTCAAGCTTGAAACTGAACTCACCTCTGTGGCTCAACTTTCAGCCAGATAGACCTATAAGGTGAACAATAATACCTGGGAGGTACACACTCATTAGATCAACCAACTACATAAGATCAAAAGGGCAGCATTTGCCCAGGGATAAACCAAGATGGCAGGAAGGGATGGGAAAAGTGCTGTTACATTGTGGAGAATGCAAGGAATGTCATAAAACAAAATGTGTATGAATTGTTGAGTTGAATGGAAAACCAATTTTGTCTGTAAAGTAAACTTTCACCCAAATCACAATTAAGAAAAAAGATACAGCAGTCATATTGTTTTATTTTTTGAGGCAGAAGACTTGATAAATGTACTTGAAGAGAATGAAAAGAACATGAACATTAGGTTCAACTGAATTGGGTTTCTGGACCTTCCTAACTTGCTTGACATGGTTTAGTTAAATATATCAACTCTCAACTCTCTGGTCCTCTGTTTTCTTCTCTGAAGATGGGAAAATCATATTGTTTAGGACTGCTGTGAGGGTTCAGTGAAAACGGAATTAATTTATTAATTATATATTTACTAAAAGGAGACCTAATGTCAGTTTTCATGCATATTTCATAAAATATTCTTCTGCTGATTGAAGCAGAAAAAAAAAATTACATTAAGTCCCACTAAGAGAGTAAGTTAATTACATTAATTATCAGACCTAGCCAGTAGTCTACTTTTCTAACTTCCAAGTACTGGGAACTTCGAGGTTACCTTACTGGTTATGCTTATGCCAAGGGAATGACTTATAAACAGACAACAGGGCATGTATACATGTATATTGAAGAAACATATCAATATCTAAATTATTTTTGTTTTTAGTAATGGAATTTATTTTAAAATTTCAAATCTGTTTATCAAAGGGGGTGTGGGTTAGAGAAGAGTGTGCCCTAAAACATGTAACTAGAAATAGAAAAACTAGAAATAGAAAATGGTGTGTCTGACAAACCTTTCTTTTCCTAGGAATGGGCTCATCAAAGAGAAGGTTGCTGGCTTCTGACTCGTCAATGCCGTCGTCCGGCTGAGCCTGGGTACGGAAGGGTTTGAAGCTGTCGGCTGAGAGCGGAGGTGACGGCGTGGATGGGTTGGACTGGTCACTAGGGGCACTCCAGCTCCAATAGCCGCTGCTGCTGGTACTGGAAGGCACACATCCTCCTTCCTTCCAGGATCCACTGAGGCCCTCTGTTCACACAAACACAACATCAGTACCGGAACCTCTAACGTGAGCCCAGGTATGATTCACAGTGGGGCACAGGCAACCTTAGCTCTGAGACCCTTGATTCTATTCTATTCTGTAGTAGCTTGCTATGTATTTAAAGGAATTACACTATTGTTTATAAAAGTTATTTTTAAAAGTTATTTTAACCACATAATAATTTAGGTCTTTCTAAGAATTTTCTGATGTATGTTGAATACTAGTTCCTCCTTGGGATATCCATGGAGATTGTATTAAAAAAGAAGCAATTTGTTCCATAAGTTTGGGAAGCTGTGGATTAATCACAGAATCCCCTAATTTAATTTATTTTAATTTATTTCTTTTCTTTGAAGGAACTAACTTCTATAAATCTCTGGATAGTTCTCTAAGGAGCTCTTGCTGTAGTACTTAAAAAGGTCAGTGGTTTGAACCCACCAGCTGCTCAGCAGAAGAAAGAGGAAGCACTGGTTCCAGTAAAGATTTATATACAGCCTTCTAACGTACTAACTAACATACTAACATACAGCTTTGGATAAGTCAGAATTGACTCATAAAGACATGCACCACGTTGCTCATTATAACAAAGATATAATCATATAATCCCATGGCTTCTCATGACATCTGTCTTCTCATCTGTCTTCTTGACCACTGGACCTGGTGTACTTCAGTGATTTTAAGTGATTTGCCCAAGGCCAGTGACTAGGCATCTAGCCACCATCCCTTATCTCTCAGTCAGCCCTCTTTGCTTCAGCACAAGCAGGCCTTGTGCTGTAGACATGACACCCTCTCCATTCACTTCTACAAAGCTGGGATGAGATAAGAATTTATTGGAAATAATTACTAATAAAATACAAGGGAAAGTTTGCTAATGTAGGGAGATGAGATGTAGGGAGATCTTTGTTGCTTTAATTAGAATGTCTTCAGATATCTAGATGAGATGTAGGGAGATCTTTGTTGCTTTAATTAGAATGTCTTCAGATATCTTTTGGTATCTTTTTTTTTAAAGACTGAAAACACCAGATTTGCTTTACTTTTCAAGATAGCTGATCTTAATTAGCATTTGTGTAAATCCTACTGTCTTTTTGGGTAATTTCTCCTCTGTATTTATATGCATTTTGAATATATTAAAAACTAACTACAACTAACTATGAGAAGATAATCCCCAAATGCTGTTAATGACTATGTAGTTAGTAATGAAGTGAAAATGAATGATTAATTAATAGACTAGCTAAAATTTCCTGATTATTACCTTCACCTAGTTATAGATTTACTATGTCAAGTAAAATGTTCAGTTAGAAGTGTGTAAAGCAAGCACTGAGAGAATCATGCTGGCTCACATCTTCTCAGCATCAACAAAACCAAATTAGACACTCCCTCTCTGCAGCCCACTGGACCTGGAGTTGCCTATTATTCAATACAACACAACTCTAATGGAATGGTAAGGCTTTTGGTAATATTAGCAGCTGCTATGATGAACTCGGGAGCTAGATCTAGACCTATACCTGGTAGCCTAGCCCCTAACATAGCCCCTAAGGCACTTGACTGCTAACCAGAAGGCTGGCAGTTCAAACCCACCAGCCACTCCTCGGAAGGAAGGTTGGGTTCTGTAGTGATACTGTCTTGGAAACCCAGAAACCCAAGGAGAGGTCACTAAGAGGCAGATTCAACAGCAGTGAGTTTGGGTTTTAATCATACTAATCTTCATGTCAAAAGTTATTTTTCTTACAGGCTTGTGTTGTAAATGGCATTTCCTTAAGATATACACTGTTTAATCCAAAGGACAAAGTTTTTAAAAAAAGTCAGGACTGATACATTATATTTCTTAGGGGGTAGCTTTGCCTTATTTTAAGCAAGTATCTGTCAAGAATACAGGCACTGCTACACACTATATTCTGATAGAATGATCCTTTTCATTCAGTTACTATTCAGTTACAGAAGAGGTTCCCAATGGTTACAATGGTTATTCTGGAGAAAAAACAGTCACCAATGGAGCTGGTCCTCTACCTTTGTTCCCTGTTGCAGTGAATGGTCTCTCCAAGTCTTGTTTATCCTACCTACTTTCTTCACATTTCTCAAATACATACTCTTTTTCCCCACTGTGACTATCATGTTTCCTTTTTGTTATTGTTTGTGTTTGCTTGTAAATTTAAATTTAATCATGATTAATCATGACTTCATAGATTAACTTTAATAGCTCTCCCACAGTCAGAAGTACAGCCAGAAAGCTGAACTGTCTACCATGGACATATGGACCATCAGGGTAGATCTCCAGCTAGTCTCTCCGACCTCTCCGACTTCATCGCCTTGTTCCTCCTGATTTAAATATGAGGCAATATTCTAGAGTAGAATTTCAGCTCTGCCATTTACAAGACAATTAAAACAAACATAGTACCCAAACTCACTGCTGCAAACTCACTGCTGTTGAGTCAATTTGACTCACACCAACCCTTCCTTGCTTGCATTTCTGAGGCAGGCAGTACCTCTATGGCTGCCCAGTCTTCCTTCTGAGGAGTGCCTGGTGGGTTTGAACAGGCAGCCTTCTGGTTAGCAGTCAAGTGTCCTATCTACACCACCAGAGCTCATAGCATTATATTGTATTGAGTACTTACTAAGGTGGTATAGTGCCTAAGGCATTTGACTGCTAACCAGAAGGCTGGCAGTTCATACCCACCAGTCACTCTTAGCCTTTAATATGGTTATGATTAATAGTCTTTTTCTCCAAAGAGATTTTACCCTACCTGGGGCACCATTTTTCAATGATGTATTCAAACCAGAATGCTACCTGATCAATATATCAAGTGAATGATTAAGGAGTCTTGTATATTGCTTTTTAAAAATATATATGGGCTGGAGCTCAAGAAAAGAAATGTGAATGAATGAGTTGCAATGGAGTTCAGGGAAGAACTCTGGGGTTTCTCTTTCTTCTACATTTCCCCTTGGATCTTGGTAATGGATGAGGATTAAATATTCATTGTATTTCATAAGAATGAGACCCAGACTCCTCAAGGACAAGCTCTTCCCAAAGCCTTATCCATGCCACTTACCATTTGGTCGCACAGGAGGACTTCGAACCAAAGGGCTGGTTGACAAGCTGGTTAATACCATTGCTGCTGTCACCTTGTCCATGTCCAATTCTTCTGAAGATTTCCTGTGAAACAGGGAGGGGCAGGGTTAACTATGCTCATTCTCCATCTACTGTGGGCCAAGCAATGTACCACATATGTTTACTTTTTGGACTTAAATCTAATATTTTGTCAGCCTTATCTTATAGAGGAGGAAGCTTTAGCCAAAGAGGTTAAGTGATTTTAAGTGATTTGGCCAAAGTAATACAGCATTAAGAAGTGAGAGATTCATTCAGATAACAACTATTTATTTAGAGTGTACTGGTAGTGTAGGGCCTAAGGCACTTGACTGCTCCTAAGAAGGGTTGCGCAATCTACTTCCCTGGTGATACTGCCTCAGAAACCCAAGGAGGGGTCGCTATGAGTTGGGACCAATGAATTCAGACCAATTCCACAGCAATGAGTTTGGTTTGTTTTTATAATGGCTAGACTCTATTCTAGGAACAGGTGATATGGTGGTTTAACACAATAATTTGATAGTGACAAGAACAGTGAAGAGCACAAACAGGGAGACATGATAGGGACTCTTGGGTGGGCTGCACTTAAGGTGGCCAGGAAAAGTTTCTCTGAGAAGATGAGAGAGAAGAGGCATCAATCATGATGAGCCACAAAAAAAGCATTCGAAGCAGAAGAAATAGCACATGTAAAGGCATGGTAGCAGGAATGAAACTGGGATGTTTGAAAAACAAACCGCAAAGTGAGAAGAGAGAGATGGGCAGCTGATCATATGGGGTCCTTTTACAATGGTGACTATTCTAAGTGAAACTGAAAACTGAAACTGGAAGGCTTTAAGTGGGCCTAGTGACATAGTTTTTTTTTTTTTTTTTTTAATTACCTCTGGTGGCATAGTGCCTGAGGTATTTGACTGTTAACCAGAAGGCTGGCAGTTCACACCCACCAGCCACTCCTCAGAAGATTGGGAAACCTTAGAGATATCACCGGAAACCCAAGGAGGGGTCACTATGAATCACGATCGACTGGACAGCAGTTGAGTTTCACAGTGTTATATGGAGAGTTCATTTTAGGGAAAGGAGATTAGAAGCAGACAAATAGTGGCTTAGACTAGAGTGGAGACAGTGGAAGGTGAACCGTCAGAATGCACTGGGTGTGGGAGATGAACAAAAAGGGGAAATCAAGGATGTTGTTCAGATTTTTGGCTTGAGCAGTAACTAGTAGCCATTTTTGGAGATGGAAGAGACTGGTGAAGAAATGTAATTAGGGGTATTTAAACTTCAGTGCTCCTTTTACTGCACTGTAACAGGTCCCAAACCAAACTCACTGTCATTACTGAGTATATTGAGTAGGATCTGACTCATAGCAATCCCTCCTTAGGTTTCCGAGGCAGTATCACTACAGAAGTAGATTGCCCAGCCTTCTGGTTAGCAGTCAAGTGCCTTAGGCACTACACTACCAGAGCTCCTGTAAGATAAATAGTAGGAGTAGTTAGCATGTTGTTAAAATGACGAGTCACTGATAATCATTCATCAAGATGGAGAGGTTGCTTTCATTCATTAATTTTAGCCAGTTAATCCAGAATAAAGGATCATAAGATAATGATGACTGTGAACTGGAGTCAGCTTATTTGAGCTTATTTCAGTAAACATTAATATTGAGAGGAAAAACTTTACACTTTATAGTGACATCACAAAAATTGTACCACCTATAGAGAAATGAACATTTTCAAATTAGGGAATCAAATTAGGGAACAGTTGGAAAAGCACAGAGGATTAATAAGCCATACCACAAATGAATTGTCAATTTGACAAATGAGGCTTTCATTCACAGGTGTACTGAACACTTTGTAAAAGCAATGAACTTCACAGCATCATCTCACTGAACACAGTGGGAAAAGAGATTCCTAAACTGAGGAGAGATCAAATAGTGCCTGTTTTTGTGGGGGGACTGCTCAATTAAGCTCACCATGAAGTTATCAAAATTATTAAAAGTTAGATGCTGCATTGTCCAGCCACATCTGTGCCACAGAGAATATCACACTACTGCAAAGCAATAACTCTTTCTTTCAAAAGATGGGGATCTTTGAAATTCTCATCCATAATTCTTCTCAAAGCACCTTATGCACTTCCTTATGCACTTCCTCCAAATTATTCCATCAAACAACAAATCATTTGTTTCAGAGACTGGCAATTAAAAATACTCCTATCACACAAGCTTGAGAGTACACAGTAACATTCACTCTGTGGAAGTTTTGAAGTTTTACTCTGGGGAAGCTTTCAAGACAATTTCATACACTTTGGGGGAGAAAATTCTCATTCATTTGGAATACTATTAAAGATTTTACTATATTCACAATGTACAAGATCTCAGTACTTAGGAGTAAAAGTGATGCTGGTTTCTTGCAGAAACAATGCCTCTTGAAACAGCATGAGGAAAAGAATGCTGATGTAATTTTGAGTGTTTTGGTGGCTCAGTGTCGCCATGTAATCATGGTCACAGGGAGAAGGAGCAGTGTGGGGGCCTTGATGGAGAAATGCTTGCCATATAGAAGTAAAGAGAAAAAGACATCGAGATGCCCAATAACTCCTCTGGCTGTCTGCTCTCCCCCAGGACCAGCTGCCAGGATCATTTTACGCCAGCGTGGGGCACACTTGAGCAGCCTCCTTTTGTCATCTCCCTCAAGATTGGATTGCAGGAGCTGCTGATGTCTCTGTACGTCTGCTGTTTTTCTCTTATTAACAAAAGTTTAAAAACCAAGATAAGAGGCCTGTGCACCCGGCACAGAGAAAGTCACCCCCACCTCCTGATTCCTAGAGAAACTGGCTATATAATCACACCCTTTTCTTCTTCTGTATCTTGGACTCAGGGTCTTGCAAAGCCAAGAGGAATAAGCATTCATACACAGATAAACCTCAGAGATACTGTGGGTTCAGTTTCAGACCACGGCAATAAAGCAGCAGAGTGAGTCACACAAATTTTTTAGTTTCCCAGTACATCTCTAAGTTAGGTATATGCTATACTGTAGTCTTTTAAATATGCAACAGCATTATGAAAAAGTATGAAATATTGTGAGAAATACCAATGACAGAGACACAAACTGAGCACTTGCTGTTAGAAAAATGACACCAATAAACTAGCTCAATACAGGATTGCCACAAGCCTAAAAAACACAGTATCTATGAAGTGCAATAAAATAAGGTATGCCTGTAATCATAGCGTTTTCATAGTCAAATTACTTATAAGTTTCTCATTGGCATTGCAAGTCACTAACAAAAAAATTCAAAGGAATACATTGCTAACGACTCAGTTAATAACCTGTCAGGGACTATTTATTTTATTTATTTTTAATCATGCTACATGAAACATTACCAGATGATACGGCCTTGTGCTGCGTTGTGTTTTTGTTTTTATCTTTGTCTCATTTCCTCTGGTACAGTACTATCTAATTACTGATTAACTGGTGCTGCAAATTCAAATCCTTATAATTAAAAATGAAAAGATGATATACAAATTAGAATTTGGTATACTTTGGAGAAACTGCTGCAAAGCCCTCTGGTAGGTTTAGAGTTTAATAATAAAAAGCAGTATTAAGTGATCTCTCATGTTCAACTTGAATTTACCGTGGAAAACCTTATCAACCACATGTTTGGAAAAGGCTAAGACCTTTTTCACTCTTTCCTTCCAGACTTGCATGAGTATTACAGAGCGTGACAGTATTTATAATTACTTCATAAATAACAGTAATTGCTGGCTTTATCACTCTATACACTCTGTATATGATTTGGCCCTTGAATTGATCTGGCTTTAACATATGAGGATTTCAAAATGGGAGAACCCAAGTCTGTGGCTTACTAGGAAATTACTTAGGAGTCCTCTATGGAGAGATGAGGGTGGACAGAGTCCAGCCAGATCACAGGGCCTGTGTGTGCCTAGTTAGGTGGTTTGTTGTAAAGAGAGCCATTGAATATTCATGAACCTGGAAGAGGTGATTAATTTGTATTTTAGAAAAGTGTCAAAATGGAAAATGTAGTAGAAAAGGAACAAAATAAAGGCAGGATATTTAGTTAGTTTTGTAGCAAAGTCTCAATTCAAACTCTAAATTCTAGACTGAGACAACTATCTCTCTATGAATAGATACTATTCAGTCTATGAGTACAGGATCATCATATTTGCTAAGGATGGGTACTGGACCTCTGTCTCTGGGAAAGGCAGTAAGGGCAATAATATTTAAGAGTTCAAGTCTAGAGTAAGTTAGACAACCTGGGTTCAAATCATTCTCTGCCATTTACTATATGACCTGGGATAACCTGAGTCCCAATTTCCTCTTTTGTAAAAAGGAGGATAAATATAGGTTTGTTGAAAAGAATAAATGAGAAATTGTATGTGAACATCAACACAGTCTTGCCCACAGTAGGGTTTCCATAGATGTTAGCTTTTAGCTTTCGAATTTATGAATATGATGGTAGCATGTATCTCTCACAAAAAAGTATTAGACTACTTCACTGATTCTTACTCAATACCAGAGCTAGCACTTGTTGCTTTTCTTTTCCTTTTTTCATAAAAAACAAAACAGTTACTGTAACTTCATGAAAGTTAGTCTGTAAGGGGTGGCACATGGAGAAGCAGCTTCTGGGCTTCAAGCTTGTGCTCTGGCAACGATACAGCTCATTACACCACGGGCTTTAGGGTATTCACAAATAGCCAAAGCCTAGAGCACCCTTTTGATTTTCATGTTTCAGAGATCATGCTTTCAATATCCACTCTTGGAGTACTTGCTCTGTGCCTGGGGCTATGCTAGATACTGGGGATACTACTGTATAGTCTCCAAGAAAATGTGATGGCATCTCTGCCCTTCTGAGCTTTAGTCTAGTTGGAGTCCCCATTTACTAGCAAATTGATTCCGACTCCCATTAACAACCCCATGTGTGCCAAAGTGGAGCTGTGTGCTGCAGGCCTTCCAATGGCTCATTGCTTTTCCAGATGTCAACTGCCAGGCCTTTCTTCCAATGGATTCCAACCTTTCGTTTAGTAATTGAGCATGTTAACCATTTGTACCACCCAGCGACTCTAG